AAAGTAAATGCACCAGAAAAAAAATAAAAAAGTTGTTCATGAAAATCTAATTTCAGCCATCCATAACATTGTTTAATTTACAAAAGATCCAAAAGTTTCTATTTTATTTTCCCCACATAAAAGTAAAAAAAAATTGGTACATACACAATTGTGAACTGTGTCCTTTCTATCTCAAACATATTCTTAAAATTAGAAAAACTTGCAAATTCAAAAACACAAATATTAATTTAAATGAAAAATCACTTCTGCCTATGGACAGGAAATCAAAGCAGGAGAATTAAACATTTTTCAATCACAGCCAGTTCTACTACACAGATCTTAACCCTTTATTATCTCCACCCATACAATTATGACAATTATCGTAATGGAAAAAAGAAAAGAAAAAAAACCTCCATGGATGATAAAGGGTAAATAAAACATTAAAGTATCAAAATCTAATAATTAGTATACACTAGAATAGATGGATATAAATAAGAGGAAAATAAATCAAAAATCACTTGGTGCACCAACAACAATCAAAGGATCTGTACAGCAACGTGACTCTCTTTAGAGAAGTGTCAAATGTAAATAGGGTACATGGTATTTAAGCTTTTGAAGTTAATGTGTTCCAATACTAGAAAGCTTGGTACAGATAGTTTACATGTTATTTATATTTTCAACTTTAATAACATAACATTTAAGGACAATGAAGGGACCTCTTGGGTCCAGCTAGTTTATTCCATCCACTAAACTACATTAAAAAAACTCAAAGCTAGCCTTTATTATTCAAATATTTCCTAAGCCTTCCTTAAAAATCACTTCAACTTATTGCTTCCACCATCTCTGAAGGTAATGCATTCCAAAAGCCAACTATCCTGTTAGAAAAAAAAACTCTTAGATGAAGATGACTCCTACCTTGCCAAAATTTATAATTGTGGCCCCTAGTCCTACTATTCTCATTGTTAAATAAAAAAAGATGATGCATCAACACTATCAATTCCCTTTACAATCTTAAACACCTCAATCAGATCTCCCCCAACTCTTCTTTTTTCAAGAGAAAATAATTTGAGAGATTTTAGCCTCTCCTCGTATGACAACCCCTGCATCCCA